GACCATGACCTGGGCAAGGTCGTCGGGTGGAGCCAGGTCGGTGTCCTGCGGTGAGCGGGTATCCAAAAGGTCCACCAGCCGGTCCGGCGGCAGGGGGTCTGTGTCGGACTGGGGTTTCAGTGCCTCCTTATCTTTCGAAAGCTTGAAAGAAAGTAAGCAGAAACAAGCGGAAACACCTGCACCTACATCTAAAACGTCACTTTACAATGTGAACACATCATTATTTGATCTTATTGGTGTGAAAAAACACCACGAGCTTGCACTTCACAGGCATTGGACACCCACTACATCCCAGGGGACAAGACATGCCCTGCCGAGTCAGCTACGTGTCTCCATCCAATAGTCCAGCTTCGTTTGAGCTCAGCTGCATCATCAGTCTCTTCGACCATTTGTCGCATTGAAACATCTTGAAACCAGAATCAGCAATCTTCTCGTGGCGACCATTCTGAATGCATTGCATTCATGCAGCAACATTCTCCTGACATTCCCTAGGGCTCCAACCATATCCTCAGAAGGTGGTTAGACCCCCCAAACCCACCCCAACCATCTTCTCAGGAGGTGGTTGGAGCCCTAGGGATTAATCCTCCAACAACATCAGAAGGTAGTTGTGACCCGTCCTGTCGCCCAAGGGACCCTAACTATATATATCATGATCACCTACCCATACCTTCCCCAAATTCTTCCCAAACCCTACATACTACTGTACATACCCTAAAGGCCTACTAGCCGCTACAAATCCAGAGAGTTCGGACGAAGTGACGTTCTTTCAGGCCCAGCCTTCGCGGATCGCGAAGCCGGTTCACCTGTGCCCCTTTGTTCGGTCAGACGGTCAGACGTCATGTCGTTCCACCAACAGAGGTTAAGTGACCGTAAATAGGACCCGTAACCTGGGGTACCTATAGGGTAGTCTATAGGGTTCTTCAACCTCTGTTGGCAGTCCGAGGTGGGAGGATTTGGTGGAAGATTTCACTCCCTCACGAAAGCCTGGAGACTCGGTTCCGTCGAAGCCGCAGAGCGCGAAGCCTGGAGGTTTCGCGGACGAGGGAGACGGTGTTTTCATGGACGGAAGAATTGAGAAAGCAAGGAGGTGGAAGCAGGGAGAGGAAATTGGAGCCAAGACCTTGCTTTCCTGATCTGAAAGATGAGCCAAGACCTTGTTCTTGCCTGTTGTGTCATGATTTGCGTCTTTTTCTTTGTATTTGGATATGGCTTCTACGCAGTGACGTGGTTGGCCATTTGCCTGACAAGGTTTGTCGTTTCCTGACCCACAGACCCTCAAATAGATAGAAGTTGGTTCATCCCCACGTTCAGATTGTATTGGAAACCGTGCCACCGTGCTCTGTGGGGATCACCGAAGGGCTCGTCTCTTCGTCCTGCCCCAGCCTGAGGTCCTGCCCCGTGCTTCACGAAGCTTATGACTTTAAGGTTCCAAGGAGCTGGGTCGGGACGTCGTTTTCTGCAGGGCAAGGTCAAGGGACCTCCCTGGTGTGGGTGGCATTTCCTGTGTCAAACCACAGAACACAGACTGACTCTCCCCTTCTCCCTCCAAGATGTGATGTCCAGATATATATGTGCAGTGTGTCGGTCACCGACCCCACACCAGTGACCAGGTCAAACAGCTTCAGATGGCCATCCGGTTCAGCTCTGCTTCTCAGAGATCGATCGATCCCGAGAGTTGGGGAGACCCAAACTAACACCTCGCGCCACCACTCGGCGCAGGAACCGCTCGTTCAGCCGAAGTTCCATGCCCTTTGGGGTCGACGTGCGTCATTTGCCGGAGGCGAAGCTGGCGAAGATGTGGGGGAAAGAAGATGTGAAACCCTAGCCTTCAAAGACGTGGGTTTTGTGGTGCGGACTCCTTCAGAAAACATGTTTGGCAAAACAACGGGTGGTTCGGCAAAGGCGATTAAACAGGGGGAGAAAGATACTCTCCCATGCCCATGCTGGGTTACCCCACTTTTCGTACACCTTTTTTTGGTACGGACGAGCTGACGAGCTTCATAAGAATGCTCGCGCATGCTCTCGCATGCTCGCGCCTGGCGCGAGTTCCAATCTCTGAGCGCTTGGAGTGTGCCAAACCGTTCAAATCGAACTCGCGGAGTGCTGGGAGAATGGGTTGACGGAGCTTGAGGGCACCCGGCGCGTGAGGGCATGGCCTGGCCTCAAAAACTGGCAAACTGAAACCTCGACCCGTCCACCAGGTGCTCCCGACCGCGCCAGGCAGTGAAGGAAGTGAGCGACAATCCCCTTTCAAAGGCAGGAACCGCCAAGCTTAAAGACTTTCTTTTTAAGACCTCAGTCTTCCCAAGTGCATAGATGGATGATGGATGTGTCCAAATCATGGTTGGGACGTTGAGCAAGGTGTAAAAGTGTTCAACTGCTCGGGAAAGATAGAGCATTTGTGATGGCATGTCATAGCTAACGAAGCTTGAAAAATCCTTCGCAAAGGGTACAAGAACTTTGGTTTCGCGTTGTGTTAGTATTTGGGTTGGGGGATCTTTCTCTGTGTGTGATTGCATTTGGGGCATCTCAAGGTCCATCTACCAGGGCCGCCAGGTGCTTCCGATGATGCTGGTCCTCCTGTGCTGCCTTTGTTTGGGCTCAGCATGCCAGAACCCCCAGCCGGGCGCGGAACCTTCCATGAAGGTGACGATGGTGACGGACGTTTTTCGTGAAAAAACACGGCCTTGTTGCATTTGGTTGTCTATCCCCACGGAACGTGTGTTTGGTTCGGGTTCGAATGTTTGTGGAAAAACCACCGGTGACACTGGAAGAAGTTTTTTACCGTGGTTTTTTTTCCCACAGCCCCCCCCCCCCAACCATCCCCAACCCACAGATTCGGCGTTTGGAGCACCTCATGTTGTTCGGGGCTGAGTGATGAGTGGACCACTCTTTCTGAGGTGGTCGAAGGCGAAGGCCCCTGCCGACCAGGTGGGCCAGATTCGGGTGGACCTGGTCCGTTGGACAGGGCGGCCGAGAGTGGGGGCCAGAGTGGAGTTATACCCCTAAGTTTGGTGGGCAAAATGGACCCTATGAACCCCCTTCTTCGTAAGAGATGGTCAGAGATGGTAAGGTCTGACCTGCATAGAGGCAGATGACCTGTATGCCGTATATACCGTTATATGCCTGTGTTTCAGCCTTTTCTGGCTAGCCTTTTCTTGTGACCTTGGTTTCTTGGCCATGTCGTTCCGCAGGGATCGCCGGCCAACCTGTGGGACGTCGTCGTTGGTCATGGCGAGCTGTGAGACGCCCGAAAGACGCATCCGGAAGAACTTGCCGTCTTTGTCTCTGAAACTCTTGTGCGTTGACCGGAAATGGAGGACACATGGCAAGAGATGATCTACCCCCAAATCAAGCAGCTTAATACCATTTCAGCGCAACCCGCCATGCGGGCCACGGCGGTCAGCGCGGCCTTGTGCCCTGGGTCGTGCCCGGCCATTCGTCTTCCCCGAACCCAGCGGGGTCGTGTTCCGAAAAAAAAAGGGTTAGGTCGACTGAGCTACACGCCGGTCCCATCGGTATACCATCGGTAGGCCAATTCGCCATTCGTGTTTTTTTGGTTTTTCCGCGTCTTCCGCTCTCTGACTCACAGGTCCTTCGACCATGAGGACCGCGTGATGGAATCGGACATCGGAAGTGGCCTGAAAATAGGGTCCCACCCTGCATCGGAAGTGGGTCCCAGAATCTTGCCCCCAAAATAAAAAAATATGAACATCCTGCGGACCTCTTATTGAGATGATGTTGAGCTTTCATGATTCTTCCCTTCCCAAATACGGTCTTGAAACATGTGCTGCATTTCTTTTTGTGCCTTTTGCACCAGGCAGATCAGCATGCAGTACTACACACTACGACCTGCACGAGCTTGTGTTCTGGCTCCACCCAATGGGTTGAAAAAAAAAACAACTGGAAGAGACATGATATGAATAGGGGACAATTGATTAAACATATTTCGTGCGCGCCTGGCCCTAGTTGAACTGGTTGTTCACCACCCGGTAGGGACATGGGCATCCCACGTGGCTGCGCGTTGTTCTCCACATGACGGTCCTTCAAAGGCTTTTGTGGGCACCGCTAGCGGTGGCAGCCATCACTGTGCCTTTGGCAGCTTGGCTGTCAAGCCGAACAGGCATCCTTAGAACATCTTAAAATGAGATGCTAGGCTGCTTGGACTTGGCACTGCTATTTAGAGGGTATATAATTTTAACATATTTTAACAGGTGTTTGTCATAAATTGGTCTACTCAATTTGCTCCCTATGTAGAGGGTCTCAGTTCTGAAAGTCAGCCGTTTGGATGTTCATTCGTTTGTAGATGTGCCTTCGTTTGCGGGGGGGGGCACATGAGTTCCAGACCCCTCATGACGTTCCAGATCCCGAAAAAGACGAGTCGACTCCTACTCGTCCGGCCAGGAGGGCCTACGAGAAGCTTTGATGACGTGATGTTTTTCAGTGACGTCACCATATTGTTTCGACTGCAGAGTCCGTCAGGTTCAAAAGTGTTCGACTGCGGAGTCCCAGCGGGATGTGTTTGGCTGCCATGGACACCCACATGGGAATGGTAGGGGCCAGGAGGACTGTGTTCCCTCTTTCCCGACATGGCCATCACCTCCATCTTGATCGAACGGTGTCGACCAACGAGACGGGGCGGTCCTTGGTAAAGAACGGTGGAGTGGAGTGCGGGTGGTCCTCCAAGGCCCGTTTTCGGTGTCCAGGTTCCTTCCTTTGACCAGCGGCTACCCTGGGTTCGGGAAGATGGGGAGGAGCGGTCGACCAGCCCCTGGAAGAAATGAAGGTCACCAGGGGCTTGGGAAGAGTGGTTTCTCTAGTAGTGGGTGTTTGGTGGGAGGGCGGAGGGCATGCTCAGCAACTACATACAGAGTTGTAACTGTGGGGACCTCTTCTGTGAAGCATGCTGATAGATATGGTGGAAGGGTGCTTCTAGTGGATAGTTGGTGCCTCAGCCATTCTTGGCTCATTTTTGCCTTCTCCTGAAGGGATGTGAGGCAATGGGAGGAAAAGGAAAAGGAAAGAAAGGCCTCTTGGCTGCAGGTTCTTCGGTTCCTTCATTTGTTCCTGAGTGACAGGGCTGTGGCTGCAGAGGTTTGTCCCAGTGATGTGATGGGAGATGATCAAATTAAAACCTGGGACACCTGAAACCACCGTAGGGAGGCTCCTTGTTTCTTGAGTCGTTTCGTTTTACTAAGAGCATCGGTGGCATCGTGATCCAGCTTTCACCCACACCTGGGAGGAGCATTCGTCAACGGACTGAGCCGCTGAGCCGACCAACGCCCGCCACGCTTCGACCGCCCTCGTCCTTCGTCACCACCGCGGACCCACCGACAGCGACGACCGCGCGACCGGTGATGCGAGCCTCGACCGGTGAATGGCAGGTGGGGATGGGATTGGACAGCCGCTGCCTCCATGGATGCGGAAAGGAGGGAAGAAAGGCGAGCCAGCTTTGCCTCGTCCGGAGCGTAGGGCGTAGCTAGCTTCGCGACAGGGGAGGCGGGGAGTTCGAGCAGTCCCTTCAAAATAAGGGATCGAGCATAGCTAGCTAGCTGCTTAGTAGCTGGAGGATATCTCTTTGATCCGCTTGGATTGGCAAATTGGAGATAGATGAGTTGGATTTCTTGTGATTTCGATTCTTTATTGTTTCTCTTCCAGATTCAATCTGACAGATTCTCCAGAGCGTGTCCACTTCAAGATTGCTTTGTGCAGGGCCTGCCAAGGTCCAGAAGTCCTTGCCAATGCTCTTGCGCTAAACCTGCCTACCAACTCGGACTACGCTATCCGAGTGAAGGAAGGAATTCCTTGGCAAGAAAACAGATCCCGTTTCCCTTCGTCCGTGCCTTCACTTGAGAACTACCACCTATAGATACCTATAGTCTGACTGCCAGGGGGCAAAGGCGGCAAAGACGGGGGCAAAGGTGATGGTGGCATGTGGGGTATGGGCGGCATGGGCTTTGGAGGCGCCGCAAACGAGCACGTTGTCGCGTGTTGTTGATGAGGTGGACCTGAATAGAATCTCCGGCTGACCATCTGGGGGCCAGATACCGAGCTCCGCTTTCGGGGGCAGATATTCCAGCCTCAGGCACTATACGGCAAGGTTGAGCTTGGCGGTTGAAAGATCAGTCATCACATGCACTATAGTCACTGGACTAGACGGGCGAACACCACCATCATGTTTGACAGGGCACCTGTGAAGTGCAATACCATGCAATACCAGCACATGTCTGGAGACTTTGCATCGAACCCGAACCTGGCCCCCTGCAACACCATTTTCCACAACAAGACCAGTGTGTTCAGTTTTTTTGTTTCTTTGCAGTGATATCTCCCCTACATTAAAGCTATCATCCCAGCATCCTGACTTTGTGGCTGGGTTTGTGTGGGCGAAGAGTGTGCTTCCTTGTGGTGAGATGATATTTGGCTGTAGAAGCCTCTCCTTGAACAGCCTGTTGAGCATCCCCAACAATGCCTGCAGAACCCTGATTGCTGGGGATAAAGGTTCTTATAACGATATTTCACTATGCATAGATCGATCGATCGATCGATAGATAGATAGATAGATAGACAGAGAGATAGTCAAGTTTGGGTGGGATCTCACCCAAGCTTGGACAGGTATGGGTGGAATGTTTCCTGGTATGGGCATGCATCCTGGCATGATGTCTGGCATGGGCATGGGCATGGGCATGCCTGGACGCTTACTTTGCAATCAGTGGAGGTGGGCATGAAGTGTTTGGAATCTTGCACCAATGTTTGAACATCCCCTTGAAGTGAGTTTGTATACATGTTTGTGCGACATTAATTATTTGGTCTTCTTTCTGGCACTGTGACATGTGCTAAAAGCAAACCAACACTGAATGTGCGACCGAGAATCGTTCCTTCCCGCACTAAGAATAAACCCGCTGTCCGCCGCGTTCTCGCCTGCGGACACTGAGGAATGCCGTTTGGGATGCAACAACCGGGCATGCAGCAACCTGGCATGCAGCAACCTGCCAGGAAAAGAACAAACAGCAGAAGCTGTCGATGTGAATCGCCTTTAGAATCTTTCCGGTCATTATGCCAGGCGTTTTGCTTTTGAACTGGTGTGGTCGTTGGGAAAACACGCATTCTGATTTGCTCACCCTACTTGACTGACCGCTCTTGGCTCTTGTGCCGTCCTGACGGTTTCGAAGCCACGAGGATGCCCTTCCAGATGCCGATGCAGATGCCATATGGAGACTTGTTTTCGACCAAAATAGATCGCCTGCCAAACCTTTCAAACGGGGAGTTGGGACACCCCACTGGAGTGGTTAACCTTTGTTTTTTAGGGAACCTGAAGCAGTCAACCGTTGTTAAGACCGAAAGGCTTAGTAGACTTGTGAGAGAACTTACTTCGTGGCGCGTGCCGAGTTTGTGGGTGGCGACTGCTAGCTGGTGGGAGATGGAGGGAATATCCACCCAACATAGGATGATTTATATATATATTGTATAATATTATATATATGTATGTTAACATGTTGAAACAGGGAGTCAGCGCCCCAAAGAGGAGTTCTCTAATTTAATGTAGACTGTAGACTCCCTAATATGAAGAGGTTGTTCACTTCAACTGGCAGGGTTTGTCAATCAAGAGCCTACAATTGCATTATGTATTGACATTGATTGATTTGGCCATTCTTTTGTAACTGGTCACTCGTAATTCTATGCCCCTCGCACCGAAGCCCACTAGCACCTAGACTCCCCAGCCCATGCATTCTGTTTGTTGGTCAGGGACTTGGTCTTCTACAAGTGGTGCCCAACATGTGGACAAAGACGCGTGCAAAAGTCTTACCCAGTTGGAGGGCTCGGGCCATGGCTAAAGATTGCTCCACCTGCGTGCATACCTGCTGCGTATATGATAGAAGTATGTAGTGCAGTGCACCACCCCCATCACTCACTGGAAGAAGTTACACGCAGCTTTGCAGCTCAGCACCTGACTGTGGACGTGTGATTCATGTTGCCAAGCAAAACTGGGATCCGTGCGTTTGCGGAATGCTTTGTGCGTGTGCGCATTGGCATCACCTACCTGTTTGTGCCCTGCAGTCAGGACAGATGCCTGGGGCACAAGGCATGCCGATGATGAACGGCATGGGCTTCGGCATGCCGAATCAGTTTCAAATGCAGGACATGCAGGCGAAGCGGTTTCAGGAAGGGATGGATCTCCGGATCGCCGCGTTGCGAAGTCACAACCGCCATGGCATCGGTGCCAGAGAAACTGATGGCACCGAGTCGAGTGGTCCTCCACATGGTTTACTGGGCCAGTCCCACCAGGTGCAAACGTGTTGGGTTGGGGAAGTCCAAAAGAGTGACATGGAGGCAACATGAATGACAGGCTTTTGCCATCTTTTGCCCCGAAACCAACCACATGGAGTCAACCAAAAGATGGTAAAATCAGTGGTAAAATCACCTGGTCACCAGGCATTGAGGTCAGGTTTTCATTTTCCCAGGCAGAACCACCCGATGAAAAGCGGGTTCAACGACGAGTTCGTGCCGTCGAGATCACGTGAGCCGTCAACGTCAGCGGTCGAGATCACCCTCTAGCAAGAAGTGGATCACCGGCAGCATTTTCTAGACAGCGCTTTCAAGCGGCCAATGCCATTTACTAGGAAAACTGCATGTGTACACCATGTTCTCTAGTTAGAGACTGGTTAATAAATACAGGTGAACATCCATCCCAGCTGTCTCATGGTGATGCCAGTCAGACCACATTGTTCCGCCACGCGAGCCACTTCCGTTTGCCTCCGCGAAACCTCACGGTCGAGGGGATGCAGATGCCCACCTCGTCGATGTCACTGCATCAGATGCAGAACGGACTTCAACCGCAGGACCGGCGTTGGACCGTCGCGGGGCTGGGGCGGTTGCGGTTCATTTGCTTTTTTGTTGGCTTTTCGGTCGCTATAACCTATCCATACCTAGTCCAAGAGGAACTTGTCTTCACAAGTGGGCCAGCACCAAAAATTTGGATCCCCACAAGAAGGCCCTGAGAATGTGTGAGATCACTGCCCAATGGCCCAATGGAATTGCAGTCCGATTGGGTGTTGATAAGTGGTGATACGGTAGGGGAGTCCAAATCAGTATCCTCCCTCCAGACATGGAAGAGGAACATGGCCCCGAAAGGGAGACTGTTTTCATCTATAGACTAACAGGCCGTGCCATCCATTTGCATGATGGTTGCAGGGTAAACATGTCCCAAACACTCCATGGGACTGCCATATATGCCTACATTGACCCCCCAGTCTACCACCCCAATGAGATTCTTCTCGCGCATTTCGACCCTCAGGGCATGCAGCAAATGCAGCAAGCAACCACTGGCGAAGCACTGGGGCCAGCAGGGCTCAGATCTCAGACACTTGGCATGAACGAATCATCAGGTGAGCTGAACTTGGACATCGGGACACCCGATGCGCTTTCTTTGTGTGACGGAAGCCCAAAACGGACGCAACAAGTTCTTGCACTGAAACGACACCCCCAATGAAGGGATGATCTGCTGATATCACGAAGATACTCCATCCTTGCCGGGGCAAATCAATCCTGTGAAACCGAATGCAGCCTACTGCGTTTCGTAGTTTGGAGACTGGAGGATTCTTTGGGGATCAGAACCTCTTCCCTTACATCCCACCGTCATACGGGTCGTTCGGCGCCGGTCCGGCCGTGTGCCGTGGGCGGCCCAGGCTGGCGGCCCGTGGCTTGAGCAAAGCGCTCTCCACCGTGTCCGTGACCTCGGCCGCCCCCGAGAGCCTCCGGCCGGCCTCGGAGGCGTGAGGGTTGGGGCGGTGCAACAGACTCAACAGACTCGCCACAAGGCGATAAGTTGAACAGAAACCAGCGCTGTGAGCGTGTGTATTTGTCAGTGTTACTTATGCAGAGGAAAATCTTTAAAAAATATATGTACTTCCTATGCACGTGAGAATATGTGAATACCAAAGACCTAGAGGAAATACATACCCCCAACTACTGAAGGTCTAGAATGGGAGGGGCTCTGGGACTCGCCAGGCATAGGGTCTAGGATACTCACTGTTTGCATAGTAGACCCTAAATCGTTGAGTATGTTAAACCTTTTCAACTTTTCAGACTTGTCACCTTCAACTGCTTTCAGGTTTCATTTTGGTATAGAGCCATTTTTGTTCGACAATCGACCAATCGAGAAGAATGACAATGATGCACCAATCCCCTGAAGAGGTGGGGGCTAGTAGATTCCACAGGTACCTGTGGAGACAGGAGGGTCTTAAATGGTGTTCTGAAGGCGTTGCCGTGTTTTTGAAGGCTTGTTGGGTTGAAGCTTTCATTCTAGACCCCTTTCATTGGTGAAGATTCCAATATTGTTTGGGGCACAATGGAACATGCAGAGGTCTTGACTGGTGTTTAGAAACCTTAACCATGTATTCAAATCTTAGAGGGTTGCTGGTTTCATTCTGAACATGGATGGGGACAGAGTTTGGGTTAACTGCAGAGCTCTAAAATGGTGTTGTTGGGGTAGGCTTGTAGGGGAGTTTGTTCCACAGAGACGCTTTCCGTTTCAGACCTGGTGGAGCCGAAGTTTGGTGGTGCTTGACGAGTTGGGAGTCCTAACCAGAACCCATAAGGGCGGTTTGAAGTTGGTTTGAACAGTTTACATGTGGTGAAGGACACCATTTAAGACCCCACTACGCGGGTACCAGGGGGCCCTGGGGTCCCTTTCTTGTAGTTGCTGGTATGGAAATACCAAACATATCAAAAATACAAAAAACAAACAATACCAATCCTCTGGAGACATATAGGCCACCTGAGTACTATTTCCTCTAGGTCTTTGGTATTTTTGTATCTATTTTGTATTTTTGTAGTTTTGATATTTTTCTATTTTTGGTATTTCTTTTGCATTTTTGGTATTTTTGATATTCTTGGTATTTCCTCTAGGTCTTTGGTATTTTTGGTGTTGGTATTTCCTCTTCTTCTTTGTTTTGTTTAATTGGATTGGAGTTGGGCTGAATTTGGTGTGTTTGTGTGTTGGACTTGATTGGATATGACTGGATTAGATTTAACCGGACTGGCTTTCTTGATTTAGCTACGGGAAAAGTAACAGACATGTACCACAAGCGCGTCAAATACAATATGTGTTTCTTTTCCCAATCAAACCTGCATTCAACTCTCTCTCCCTCTCTCTGAGTTCAATAGTGTCATATTTCAATCAAACTGAGCCCAACCAAAGACAATATTTCAAACACAAATCCGACCCAGTGCAGCTCAAGAAATCCAATCCAATCAAATCATTCATAAAATTTACATATATATATATATTTTTTGGGGTGTAATCAAATATGTTTGTTTTATTTATGAGTTCAGGAAGTCAGAGAACTTCAGAAAATTACTCGTTTTAAAAAATAGTGAGTTCATAAATTTCATAATGAACTATACTCAAACACAGAAGACTACCCAGAGCAGCTCGTGGAAGACAAGTGAAAGACTTCAGACAAATGCACTTTCTACTCCTTCAAAATTTTGTATGCAGTCAATAAGGGCAGCTCATGGAAGACAATTTAAATATGTCAAACAGATGCATCTTTAAAACGTTAAAACATTATATAAATTTCATGGGCAGTCAATACTATCGTTTAAACAAATAAAGCAAAGTTGAGCATTCATTCATTGAAGACGCGCTGTAATTAAAACAAGTCTCATAGGATAGACAGCAGCACTGTGAGCGTCTGCATTTCATGTGGCCACCAAACAACAGCTGATTTTACTGGAAAATACACACGCTCACAGCGTTGCCCTCTCAAGTTGAAAGGAGTTTTGGGGGGTGCATACTCATCCTTTGTATTTTACATGGCCACACATGACTGATTTCAACGTTCTATGATTCTCTAAATGACTCCCAAAGCAGGACACGTTGTATATCCATATAGTGGTCAAGGTGTTCGAACGATTCCTTGCATGTCTACAATTCTACGGATTTCTTGCCACGCCCCAAATGCAACTATACAGCAAAAGCATAGAAACGCCCAACATCTCGCTGCGTGATTTCCCCTCCCAAAATCAATGAGTTGGTTTAAAAGAACATCTGCGGACCCTTGTTTTTGCAACCAAAACTATAGTTTTCCTGCAGATTTTCCCTTAAACCAATTCTGGGAAAGAACAATCTGCGAACGTTCAGCTCAAAACTTTGTTCAAACCTTCCAAAGTTTCGAGCAGAACAAACCCGCTCCACCGAAGGAAAACACCCGGCTTCGCGTAGCAGCTGATCCCTCCAAGAGAGAAGAACCGAGCCATACTTAGTGCACGGTATGGTAAACATAAACATGCCAGAAGTCCAGTTTCGACAGCAAATCACTTCTACTTTCATCAGCTGTGGGGCAGCACATCAAGTCAGATCATTGCTGTGTACACATCCATCACGCTGTATATAATTGGAGACTATGTTCTCCTCCTGCGCAGTTGCCGTGTAGAAATCACCCCATGAGAAAACTCCAAACTTGCCATTCTTGGACCCACTTCACGTGGACATCAAAGAAACCACTCACTGCCACACCGCCACACCGCGCAGGGCGAGAAAGCCAGCAAGGCCCCTCGCCCCGAGGAGTTCCGTTCCGACCGTGTGCGGCGACGGAGCAGAACGGAACGGTCGCGCAAGACGTGATGTTCTTGATGTTTGAAGGGCCTAAAAGGGATTTAGTTGGATTTGCTTGGAGTTCTATGTCATGTCTAAAAAGGGTGCTTGGTAGAGCCAGCCACCATGGCAGAGTGCGGCAACTTGCATGAGTATGAGAGGGCATGATGATCTTAGACGTGTTAAACCATTGTCATTTGAGAGGTTCGGCAGGTGAGGTAAACTCTAGATTTGGCCTTCCTTCTACTAAAACCCGAATGTATCCAACCAACCCCTGCATCTCCTCCTCTCCCAAAAAAACCATCCAATCATCTGAACATCGGAAGCTTCCTCCGCCCTCTTCCGCCTTTTTCGAACCCTCAGGAGGAGGACAAAGAGTTGCTTCCTTTGCCGCCGCCCTTGGCCGATGGAACCCGACAGGTCTTAGTCACCATCCCCAGGCGCAAGACCTGTCCACGCGTCGCGTGGTCCTGCCGTCCTGGTCTCGGAGGTGAACCGCTGGAAGAACCGGTGTTTGAAGGCAAGCCATGTGGAACACCAGAGGGTTTGACCCTGCTCATCCAATAAGCATTGAGGTTGAAAAAGCTTCCACCAGTCCATTGGACCAGAAGGCAAGTAACAGGGCTATATATATCTAAAGGTTGTAGAATATGGTGAGTCCCCTCTATATAGAATGCTAGATACTTATAGACTAGAAGTCGGATGAGGAAGATGAAGCATCCAATATCATCCAATCATTCCTCAGATGTCATCCCCAATGCCAATAGTTGTTTAAAACCGCAGAGCGGTTTTTCATAATCGGTGTTTTTCTTCAGAAACAGCTGGCGGGGTCTTTCGGAAAGAGGAAGAGGGCTTCATCCCCTCTTACCCCGTTCGGCAGGCCTGCGTCGGCCACATCCGATGGCCTGGAAGCCGATGGCTCTGCCAGCTTCTCAGAACGATCGAAACGCATGGAGAGGAGGAAGGTTTTCATTGGGATGAGAATCTGATTTGGAACGTCTTCTTAGATATTCTTAGATGCCTGTGACCTTGTAGTTTTCATGGATTTGGCGTTCAACGTCCCTTTTCGACGCTTCCTGGCGGTCCGTCCCAATCGGGCCGATCCGATCGACCGGACCATCTGCGAACATCCTCCATCGGCTGTCACAACTCCTCTTCCGTGTGCTGTTTTCGAGTCGGAGTGTATCCATCTCGGCTCATGTCCCTATAACTCAGCAAGGGAAAAACAGAAGGTTAACATGTCTCTTCCACGGTGTGTTGGTGAGCCGGAGTGGAACAACCACCTATCGGATGGAACCGGTGCACCATGGAAGGGTGTCAACCATGGTCAATCTGATTTACAATGCAGTTTTGAGAGCAGAAGCAGATGAAGAACATCTCTTGTACGGTCCTTAGCTGTCGAAGATCGACCTTTTTGTGGAACTCTTCCCGGTCAGCTACGACAACACGCCGGGCGGCCAAGAGAAGTTCTACATATGGGCCCATTTGCCGGTGATCAAACGAAAATGGTGCCCCCCCCACTTTGGCGCATAACTCCCTTCGAGCATGTAGGCTCCCTTCTTGGATGTATAGGTGAAGATTCCGGAGTTCAACGTGACCATCAACCTGCCGGAGTGGTACAAAGAGGCTGTCGCATGGTTCGTTTTTGTTCCCGATCGATTTGGGGTTCCAACGGAATGAGGCCGTTGGTGACGTGACGAAACAGATGTAGCGTGATGTGGGTGTTTGTTCTGCGTGACGTTGTGAGTAACTGACGTATAACTGTTCATACCTGCACTGTGAGCAGTTGTTTGCAAGGCACCACATGGGATGAGTGGTTAAGCAATGATCCGGAACCGAAACCCCGAACGTTGGCACGCGGCATGTCCAATCTACCGTGGACACACCACTAAAAACGGTTGGCCCATGATACCAACGATATATGAAAGCGATGAACTTCGCAGACATCGGCCACCGCCTCTCATCAGTCAGGACATGTTGGGACATCGGTCACTCCCGGCAGGCGCAGACGGAGTTAGTCAAAGGCGGCCCCGCTTGGCTTCCACAGGCTGGGCCAGGGAATTCGGGACAGGAAACTAGGACTTCTTTAGCATTCACCCCGCTGAAAAGCTCATATGGAACCTGAAAACCGGTTTGGAACCTGAAAACCCATTGGTTTGTAGAGTAAAACGCCTGAAAACCACTGATTGGTAGAGTCAAACCGTCGGACACAGGGTGCAAGTCTCGACCCGGGTCCAGTTTTCGGGAGTGTAGAAGTGTCCCTCAGGCCGGGTGGGAAACGGCGTTCTTCCAACTGTTCATTAGGAAAATCAACCTGACCAACACCATTTTCAGGAAACTGCCTCATTTTCGGAGGTGATAAAGATTGTTCTGGATTCCACTGTCTTGGTACATAACAATGCAGAAACCAAAGTTGGGCAAAAAGAAGGACCACATGCCGCCCTTTGCTGGTTGTTCGTTTCCCAAGTGTTTGACTTCCAGTTTTTTCCGTCCGGTTCTTGAGACATGTTCGTTTGCCGTTGTATTTCGTCGTTGATGCAGAGATCAAGAACCATGGGAACAACACAATAAGGCAACAATATATATATATATAATTAATATAGAGGGTGTGTGGATTAGTGAAGTGTATGAAGTGTATAACCAGATAATTATAGTATGACTTATGAAGTGGAGTCACTTTGATCCAGGTTGGTGTCCATGTGTTGATCCCCATCATTCCACTCCCAGGTCACGCGACTGCCTTCGCTGTCGCCTCCTTCCCGTCGTCTTCCGCCCCAGGTCACGATCAACGTGAGCGATCTTCCCGAAGCCACGGAGCAATTGACCAGCCCATCCGGGTTCCTTCGATGACGGAAGGGCGAAGGGATTGCGGGGAAGGTGGAGCCTAGCAGGAGAGGAAAGGAATGGCAATGAGAGTGCAATGAGACAATCCTGGCAGTGGTAGGGGACAATCATGGCAGGAGAGGAAAGGGATGGATGGGAGCCCATGTGCTTTTAAATGCGCAACATCGCCATGATATGGCAGCCGTCTTTGGGTGCAGCATGGGACAATCATGCAGTGAGTGGCTGAGTGGCCGTTGGTTCCGAACGCGCCGATCACAAGCACTAGTCACTAGACTTTGATGAGAAAGACCTGACTCTGAAGGTCATTGCTGGGGGGGGTTGTTTGGTCATTGACCACACGTACGACTTGAGGACCACCATGGGCCACTGTTGGCAGAGGAAAGAACACTCTTGGCAGAGGACATGTTGACATATGTTGACATCTTGCACTTCTTCTATGCATCGTTTTTTGTCCGTTCTTTGTGACACTCACCAAACCAGGAAAACCCTGTGGGTGTTTTCCACACATGGCCGACCCATTTATATAAACTCCCGAAAACTAACATAGACCCTGACAATGGCCCCCTGGAAGATTGTGTTCCTCTACCAACCAGTGGTTTTCAGGGTCCATGCTAGTCTTCCAGGGTGTAGGGGCATTTAACGTGGGAGTCATCTCTCTCTATCTCACACGATCTGCTGCAGGCCCAGTGTGTCCTTCTTGGGGCGGCGCGCCAGCAAAGCCAGTGCGGCATCCAAAGCCAGCGGAGTGCCTTGGGCCGGTGGCCCATGGGGGTCCCAATGGTGGACTTGTTGACCTGGCGAGTGAGGATCTTAGTCCGGTGTTGGTGTGATTATGCTGCGGTAAAGCCATGTAAAACCCAAAGCTTGGGAAATTGAAGCTTGCCACGTGCCCGCACAGGAGTCACAAAGGCCATGGATAAAGCAGACAGCACGATTTCACGAAGCGTTGGAATGAATCTGGAGGTCCAAAGGCTTTTCCATTCGCCCATTGGTTGCAGTTTATTTGTTGAGTAGTCATACCGTGTGAATGGAACCAGGCACTGCAAAGATGTAAACAAAATTAATCAAATGGAAATGGGTTGGAGGTCCTCCTATAATGTATTCCCTAACCCTGACTTTCAGACATGCATTTGGTAGGCGAGCATTTGCAGAGACCCCCAACCCTGCCCAAACCAATGGTGTTTTTGACAGGTTTCAGCCCAATGTTTGCTCTTTCCAGGCGTTGTTCGATGCAAAGGCCTCCCTATTCTACATGAGACCCGTAATGATGCTAGATCACCCGCGTTTTCAGTCCTTCGCCTGGTTGCCCTGGTCTTTTTCAAGGGCGTTCATTGATCATCTCAGTTGATTCGGCACGCGCCTCTCCCAGGACAAAGATGGTGAAGGAGATGATGCCTCCCCTGGTGGGGCTGGGAAGTTGCAGGTCGGGGGTGGTGACGTTTTTCAGAGCGAGGTGCTCAAAACTGCTGGGACCTCCAAAAGCCACGAGGTGTTCTCCCTGCGATTCATGAGAAGAGTCCAGGACTTGACGACCCCTGACGTTTGGAGCTCAGCTAGTTTTGAAGGGGGTATGTGGCTATAGGTGACTATCATGCCTGGCAAAAGCATCCAAAAGCGTCGAGAATGGCATGTCTCAGCAAACGTTTTACATATCAAAGGCACTATCAAACCAACCAACCAAACCAACCACGGCGAAAGACAAAGATTTCGGACCGAACCTTCGCCGACCGCGTTCGCTTCGCTCTTCGCTTTCGTCTGAGCCTTCAGGCAGCGATGCAGGCGCGGCGCCGGGCGATGCAGGACGCCGAGGAGGTGGACGAGAAGGCCAGTCCTCGCGTTTCGGTGGTCGCGGGAGAGAGAGAAGACATGGAATGGCGCAAAAGGAAGGGAATATATTGGTAATGTATTTGTGTGTGCATGGTCGCGTTTTGGTTGAACTGTGTCGGATAAGAAATGTTCAAGGGAAAGAATTGGGAAGTGGTTGAAAGAAGTATGGCTGAAGATTGATCTCTCATGGCAAGTTTGCATGTGAAGATACATTGAGATGGGAGTTGGTTGGAGCCCTAGGACCTAGGCACCGTTTGTCGGGCTGGGGGAAGGAATTCGGCCATGCCAGGTGAAGCGATCCAAGTGTCCCGGCGTGCAAGTGGCGTTTCGACCTCTCCGACATCACAAGCAGAAGATAGAACGATCAGAACAGGACAGACAAGAAAGAGAAAAGAAAGAGAAGAGACGAGACGGGAAGGGAAGGAAAGGAAGGGAAGAAAAGGGAAAGGACAGGAAAAGAATGGAAAGGACAAGAAAAGACGAAAGGAAAGAAGAGGAGGAAGAAGCCAGGAGAGATCTCTTCAGGCTGTTTTTCTTTTCCAGGAGGGTTGACCTCATGACCCGTCTACCCAGTGTGCCGATGTGTTTCCAGGTTGTTGTCTCTGAATTTTTGCAAGGTTTAGCGCTTGGACTTTGGAGCCGGGGCTTTCTTTTGCCAAGGGATGGGGCCACTGTGTTGATAGTGGCCTGGTTTTCTGCAGTGGCCCTGAACCCGAGCAAGCAGAGTTTTGGAGATGGAGGATTGCCGCAACCTTTCGTCATGGTTCCCTACAATATCCTACAATGCTCCTCAGATGGCTCAACAGAGGGCGCTTGATTGGCTTTGGAACGATGCGCGTCTTTCAGGTTTTTCCCCTACATCGTGGCGATCCTTTTCACGAACTTTGTATATAAGAGACCTGCCTGCAGACATACAGACATGGGGGATTAGCCTTAAGTTAGTGATAGCGCGGCTCTTCTGTCAGAGTGTCCCTGTGGGACAGCTGTGAGACAGCTAGGCCAACCAACTCATGCAAATCGCCCATGTTTGGCCTTGCATGAGGTGGAACATCAGTCTTTGTATGTCTTAGTCTTAGCCAAAGCACATTTGGTGGGTTTGAACACGTGTAGTTCTCAGCTGCTGGGTCCGGCGTGTGATGCCCATGTACTGCAGCTTGAACTTGAAGGGATCATCAATCCCTGTGACATGCTCATGTCCCTGTCACAGCTGAGGAGTGGGCTAAAAACCATGAGAGATTGGGCGAGCAAGATGCAAACGCACTTTGAGGACCTGCGACGGCACGTGTGTCACCGTTTCAGCGAGGGCGTGCTCTGGCTTGTGAGCAGTGCGTGGATCTTGTTCCATGTTTTTCCAACTCGGTGAGATCATTACCAGAGTTGTTAGACTCTCAAAACGAAGTCTACCGATGCCGAAGTGAGTAGTACGTTTACCTATATAAGGCATCGATGACTGGTTGATCTTGTTCGGCATCGATACTCCTGGTGTCCGATGCCTTTTCGGAAATGGCCACCGAATGGACTCGTCCTTCAAAGGTGAGGAGGTTCGACGTGGACCCGTGGAGGTCCGGATGATGGAGGTGGCTGTCGCATCCGCAAGCTTGGCTAGCTTGGGGCGTCCAGTGACGGTTGGCCTTTTAGAATGGGCCCTTTGAATAGAAACTATAGTTAGTGGGTCCAAGTTGCTATGTGGTTGAGATCTTTGTTCACCGACCAGACTTGATCGCATTGGGGTACTTGTCAGGACACGTGCCAAATGCAGATGCGAAACTGGGCAGAACTCTCTTTTGCACATGCGGTATGTAGACCTACAGCGCAGCTTAAGTGGTGGTGGTGGTGGTGGTGGTGGTGGTGGTGGTGGTGGTGGTGGTGGTTTGTCCTATGACTTCGGTTCATGTTGTAGACGACTACAGTGTGATAGTGTGATGCTGCCAGATCACAAGAAGCAGCTACCGTTGTAGATCCTCAAGGCCCAACTATGGCACCTTGTTCGCTAAGGAAGGCGAATGAGTGGAGTCTATATGTTTTGTTCGGCAAAAGAGTTATCTCGGATGCATTTGGTATCATTCGGTGCATTTCACCGTCCGGCGTCATCGCATGCATCGGCGGATCCGCACGTGGCGTTTGACTCAGGAAACTGCATCTCATGGCTCAGCCGTGCCCTCCGCACGTTTGCACGAACCCTGACCATGGACAGCCATGCAGGCCCTGTGATGGTGCACGGCGCACGGCGATCGTGCGTACTGGACGCGCCGGGATGAGTGCGGCAAAAGCTCATGTAGGTATGGATCATTGAGATTTTCCTTGAGTTATCCAAGAAGAATCTAAGTATATACTGTATTGTACGCAGCTAGCATTACCCAGCAAAGCAGACGTGGGTCAAAACCAATCGACGAATCGATCAACAAAAGAATGCTCCCTTTGTTCTTTGGGTGCTCACCCGTGATAGGGTGACCATGAGTCCTTGCAGCAATGGTGTGCTTGCGCAGTTGGCTCCATGTTTGTTTGTTAACAGTGCCATGCAGTGCCGCAGTCTTTATGAGCTTGTTTGCACCTTCGGAATGAATGGGAGCCTTGACAAAGGCGGTCATGATATCTTCAAAGTGTAGCACACAGATTTCAAACAGTACGTATGCAATCTAACAGCTACTCTACACTATACTGGATAGATGGGAATCTTCATCCTCCAGGCCTTGATTTAGCTCCTTCACGCTCCGGCACGATCAAGCTACTGGATTTAGGCGGGCCGCGGGCCTTTCTTTTTTCTTTGGGGCGGGGTAGAACGGGGCACCATGCTTTGGGAGCAATGCTAAGGGCTTTAAGAAAAGGTGTAAGTTCAAGAGCCTCTATAGTTTGAGTGTATATGTAGAACCCATTGAATTCCCGAACTAGACCCCCAAAGCCCAATTGAGAGCCCTTTGGATCACCTACATCCTACAATTCAAACGGTCACCTTGCCGGGTCACCTTGTCAGATCCCAGATGGCCTGTACTTCACTAGACCTCAAACAACCTTGTGCAAACAAGCATGTTACATCACTCTCAGAAACAATTACATAGATATACCATGCACATCCTTGGTATACCAATAATGGTACTAGTAGTACCAATGGTATATACCTCCAGTTATACCTGCTATCCGGTCACTTTCTCTCCTCCCCATGTCCTTCGCTTCTCCTCAGCAACGAGGCTCCGACTTGACGGCACGGCAACGCGGCGACCTCAGCAGTGGACGACTCACTTCCGGACTCACTCAGCGAGAAAACGGTCGGTGCATCGGTGATTCGAAAACATGTGAACATAGTTTCAGTTGGGCCCGTGAACAAAGGATATAGTATACTAATCCTGATTCTTTGATATGCATTGACATTCTTGTATCATTGAAATTCTTTTGAGGATGACGCCTCAACCACCGTCCCTGGCACCTCCAGTCCAGTCTTCGCTTCGTTTGTCTCAGGACTGGCCATCCGTGCCTACGTTTTGTTCGACGTGCTGCTCACGGGCATCGAAGCGCCCCCCCCAGCCGTGCCGTGGTGGGAGATGAGCGATGGGTGGGGGGAAGAAGTCCCTGGATGCCGCAAGCAAGCTACTTGCGCCCAATGTGTCAGCAGCTGGGATAGCTGAGTCAACCTCCTTGGGGTTGAATTTTGAGATGTTTGGTGGCTGGGAAACACCTTGACGCAGCTGTCAGGATGAGTTCGAAGTAAGGTTGACTGAGTCAGGATTTGCTTGCTTGTCAGAATGAACCAAAACTGCAAAAGGCCATCAAAAAGCGCATCACTTTGGACCGCTCTTGGGGAGCTCTTCGATGGATCGAGGCTGACGCGTTTCCTCAGTCGCCTAGCGCAGCCGGAGGGCATTATGTTGTACGCCACTTGGCGCTGGTAGAGTCTCCAGGTGGGGAGTAGATCATGGCATTGTTAACTTGAGAGGTTGCTACGTATCCCACAAGAACTCAGCAGAAGAATGGGCTTTGGGCTTAGGGCTTAGGTACCTGGGTGAGAAAACATATTTGCTATATTGCTATATACGTATAATAACTTAGTGCATTTGGAGCCTTATTATAATAGATAATTTGAAGAAAGGGACGACGACCTGGATGTTTCTCACAGTCCACTGGATCCAAAAGAATCCAATCAATCAATTTTGTTAGAGAGCCACGTGACTGATATTTGCAGTCTTTGCTTGGAGGTTGAGATTTGAGCCTTGTCGAGACGTGTAATCTTTGCATCCTTTTACATGGAGACACCGAACCCTGCTGCTGAGATACCAAAGACCTACTTTACCGAGTCGGAACAAGAGGAGCTGAACTACGATGAGAGGTGCAAGTGGTCAATATGTTCTCACAAAGAGACCTGACCTAACTAGATTAACTAGGACTTCCATAGACCAAAGTCAGGTGGAAATTCAGATGAGCTAACCTAGCCTAGTTAGGTTGTGTGCGCTCTTAGGCTTGAACAGCTTGCACAGCTTAGGCTTGAACTAGAGGTAGTTGGTAGTTCCTCGGGGACTAGGAAGATGTTGGTCCAAGGGATTTCAAGGGGTTGTTCACATGCCTCGCCTTTGGAGATAGACGCTCCAGTCGAACACTGCCAGGGGTGGCATCCATTCTCAGCCACAGAGTCGACAGCATCAGCAGCTGGTGGCAGGCTTTCTCATCCCAAGATCCTCGTCACTGGACGAGTTGGATGACCCTAATTATGACTGGAGCTTAGTAAAGAATCAGCAGCCAAGCACCAGCCCAGAGAGTGTCAGAGACCTCTTCTTCCGACGGCAGATCCTTCCCTCGCCATCAAATCACTTCCTTCGGGCAGACCCGGTGCTGCACATCAAGCGCTCCGCCCCGCCGCGAGTCGAGCGCCGGGCGAAGTCGAGCGCCGGGCGTGGTGACCAAACACCGGGTGAACCACCGGACGACGGATTGAGGAGCGCTCTTGGGTGGTCTCTTTGCCAGTTGGGTGCGGACCATGGACAGCGATGCCAGCGTGGGCGCCGAACGCGGCAAGAGGCGGCGTTTCCGCGGCACGGAACCGGACGGGGAGAAGCTGACCACGGTTCCTTCGGGGACGACCAGTAAGGGGTGTCAAGTTCGATCATGAGAGTTGGATGGTAGCTACAGGACACACTGTTGGTAGCTATAGGAATCTGGCCAATTTGGGGAATAGAGTCTGAGTGATGGGAATGGAATTGTCCCACAGGGCCTGCTGGTACTTGTACGAGTTTGCACGTCAACTTTGCGGAAGCCCAACACTTCCAAAAAGACTGTGGCTGGTAAGTGCCAAGCAAGAAGGATCAAGACAGATCAAAAATCAAGAAAGAAACAAATCACGAAGCACTGCACTTGCTTCTTGAGGGCCTAGGTGTGCATTGAAACTTCACTGAAAAGCACAAAGGACAGCAATCACAGACCAAACCTGCACTCTTGGAGCAGCCAAACATGTGTTGCTTCTCGTTTCCTGCACTTTTAATTCCGCAGGAACATCCAGACCTTGGGCGCGCTCATCTACCTGGGCTGCCAGAAGAAGTACGACACATCTCTGCAGTGGACGACGCAGTACATTCGCACCGATTCACTCACAATGCGCAGATCGAATTGTTCGATTTATCCGACCACTCGGATGGTGGGTGACCCTGGGTTGCGGATGGTTGCGGATGACCTGGTCTTGGTGCCCTTGGTGACAATGGATGACCATGGTCTTATTGGGGGGGGGTCCGCAGGTGCGCAGCTCCTTCAAAAGATGGTACTACCTTAAAGACTTATATATAGTAATAAGTAATGTGTTTATAATAGTATGTAATAATAAGATGGCATCTTAAAGATGGAGCATGCTAATAACATGATATGTTAGATGTGCTTGTCCCAGGTTCCAAGTCACGTTTGTTCGTCCTCTCTCGGCTCGGCTCCTCGGGCTGATCCACATTTTCAGCGGCGCTTGAAAGCCGCGAACGCATGAGTCAGCAGAATTTCTGAGACAATGACAAAGGTATTATACAGATCAAGAAACAGCACGGAACGAAAAAGAGATTCAAGTGAATACGTATAGTGAAAACCCACATATCAATAACACCACGGGATTGGAACCTGACCCACGGGATTGTTCTTGACCCATTCCACACGTTCGTCCATTCACCCGCTTCGTCGCAAACCACGGTCGTTCGAACACCGCGTCGCTCCGACCCACCGGACCGGTCGCTCCGCAGCGACGCCGCGACCGGCTGCGACCCGCGGCAGGGCAGCTCGGGTCGCGCCCGTGGCCTGAGGAGTTGATCGGAAGCGTCCACGACATCCCTGGGTTGTCGAGCGCCACTAGCGATCGACTCACCCAGCCGCTCGGATGGCGGGCGAAGGTCAGACGGATGGAATGAGCGGAGAGCTGAAGCAAAACGCCGGCAAAGGGCTGAATGCTTGGGGAGAAGTAGCTGGAAGAGGTAGAATTTGTTGATGTTTGGGGTGAAACTCGCCACGACATTTTGGCTGAAGGTGGATGAAGGTGGTGTGATGTCAGGTTCACATACATCAACATGAGATTCGCACCACCCACTGACCACCATTTCAGCATGATTTTAGTTCCAAATCTTTTGCAGTGCCTTTATTCTGTAGGATTAAACTAACTGCAGGATGAAAGTTACCTGCCACAGAATGTCCTAAGTTTGGATGAATTACCACTCCTATTTGTGTTGATGCCAAAGTAGAGACCAAAATAACTCTGGCTTGAGAGAGGCTGAGAGATTGCAGAGCTTCATGTTGACCACACCGTGTGTGAACGGGAGTTTGCCCCCCCCCCCCACACTCCCATGCACGTGTGCACCTCAGATTCGGCTTGGACAAGCGGCTGGTTGCGGAAGTCGCGGTGGCTTGGCAGAGAAGGCCATGCGCCTGTTAGGAGCACCCAGGCTACCACAAGACAAGAATCCGTCACGGATGCTTTGCAAGGTGAATTGCACATTCCTTTGGGATACGAACGCGTTCTTTGTTGTCAAGCCGTGTCTAGCCCGCCCTTGGTTGGACGCCAGTGAGTCCTGCACTGATGCCTTGGGGGGGGGCAGAGTTTTTGCCACCCCGAAAGAACCTTTTCCCACACCCGCACCAAGCTGAGGAGCTCATTGAGAAGTTGGTGGTCTTCTTTACGCAACCAGACGTTCCTTGGATAGTTGCAGTGTATCCTAAATCCAGTCAGGATAGTATAGAGGATATACTTTCAGGTCTGTCGGCGCAGGGCGGGGTCACTGGCAAAACTGGTGTTTTCTTTCTCACCAATCCGGACACATGCTTTGGCAATCCAAATGTCCAACACCTCGCATCGAGCAGAAGTCCCAGCTCAAAAAGACTGGCGGAGATATGCTGGTCATATTTCACAGCTCCAAAAGCGCACTCGGATTCCAGACCAGGTTTCGACCAGGCTTGACCTCCCCGATCCCTCCTGGGCCCGACGACTCGAGGCTCAAGTCTCCATGGTGGAGCGCGTCCAGTCGAACCCCTTCGTGGCGGGGAACATCAAAGTGGCTCCGCGCGACCATCATGGCGAAGGCAGCGCAGCGTGGCGACCACCATGGGTGTTTCGGCGCGGGGAAGCGGGGAGCGGCAGAGAGCGAGGTTGGGATGAGGACGGGCAGCGCGAGCAGGCAGCCGATATTAATCAGGCACCTTCAAATAAGTACCGTGATATACAGTAATGGCGCCAACTGAGCCACCTGGGCCAGTTGAGGGGAGTTACAAGGATCGAACCAACCGAGCCACCTCAGAGTCATCGCTGGAGGGTTCGGTCCGCCGGTCAAACACAGACAACATGCAGGGACCCAAAAACACCGGCATTAGCAGGAGATTTGCTTTGTTGGGATGAGCGCCGTCAAGAAGGCCCGCTTGCTCGGCCCTGGTCTCCGGCAGGCAAGGCTTCAAACAACAAGGCTTCAAACCACCACCCCCACCACCACAACCACCCCACAACAGCAATCACCGCATTCGGAGCTCGCCCGTTCTCCGCTCCACTCATCTCCCCTCTCCAGGTGCCGAGCCCGCCGTGGTGGCGGACGAGGCGGCAGACACGCCGGTGAGTCCGTTTGGGAGCTCAGCATCGATGGCTGCGGACGACACGAACCATCGATGGCTGCGACATCGAGGTTGGTCACCACGATTGGTCCAAAAGAAGACGGCGGTTGGTCGCCATCAAGGTTGGTCACCACCCTGATCAAGGTGGGTCATCATTGATTGAAGGGTGGCGAGCAACCCTACAGGCAGCACCCGGTCCCTATCTGTCACTACATGTCCCTATAGATGCTCCATCTATAGTCCACCTTTCAGGTGTGGACTCGCAAATTCACAGGCCCACGGTATCCACGAGATGCAGCGGCCCCACACCGGGGGAGACTCCACAAACTGCCACCAACCAACTTGCACCTACAAACTGCCACCAACCAACTGCCACCAACCAATTGCCATCAACCAACTGCCATCAACCAATTGCTACCAACAAACTTCCACAAACCAATTGCGATTTGCGTGGCAGGCGCAGCACTTGGTGCACTCCACGGGGTCGGATGTACGCCCTGGCGTCGCCCTGGTGCTCAAGGGTCCTGGCGTCGCCCTGGCGTTCTGTTTTGTGTTCCAGCACCGCCGCTTACCCACCAACCAACAACCGCCAACCACCAGCCAGCAACCAACCACCAACCACCAACCGACCACAACCACCAATATCCACCGTTGTTAACATGTCGGGTTATCCGGTCGTTTAATGTTTGTCTATTTGGGCGGACAATTGCCTCAGGTTCGTTAAACTGCTGATTTCAGCAGGTTTATCACCAACCACCGCCAGCGCCAAAATTCACAGGATTGCGAGAAGCAACAAAGAGCTGTCAAGCTGACATTTTTTGCTGGTACGCTCCGGTCTTGGTGGGACAAAAATAAGACACTTGCCCCAAAACCAGTAAGGGCCAAATATACAATTACACATCTTGAAAGACAGAACCAGAACAGAAAATGGCAAGGGGTGAGTCGCAGAGACATGCAATGGAAGACGGAACGCACTGTTCGCTAGGCGTATCTATGCCAAAGTAGTTGTAGGTGACAAGGCCGCTAGAGCCAAGCGTTGGAAGTGACAAATGCGAGACTCTTGGCACGCTCCTAAGCGAGTGTGCAGTGCATGCCGGAACACCCATGTTGATGTGTTATGAATGGTGGTTTGGAAAGGTTTCAGGGATAGATTTGCATCGGATTTGGGGTTTTGGTTTCCGATGATGTTGTGTTTTCCTTTCATGTGATGTAGATGCTTGTCTAAACTTGGGCCGCATGCGTGTTACCAAATGTTACCATTCCACGACTTGGTTTTGCATACGGTTGTGGTTCAAGCAGTTCGGCTCTCACTTCGTGAACCTTTGTGACGCCTGTGCTCCTGGGCATCATGTGGCGCATCTTGGCAACTTTGTTGTTCACCGCGGTGGCGCAGTTCACCACGGACAAGTTGGATCAGATGGCGGAGTCCGTCCAAGCTTCTGCAGATTCGTTGCAGGAGAAGGTGGTTTCTTTGAGCAAAGCCATCCAGCCCCTGGTCACCAAGATCCCGACGTACGGGAGTCAAATGCTGAACGCCGGGGCCGATGCGGAGAAAAGGCCGCAATTGAGAAGGAGCACAAGGCCAACATCGCAACGATGTGCAAGGACATTGATTTCCAGCAGGGAGCAGCTGGAGGGAGCCTGCTTTGGATGCACCCGTCACAGGACCAGAGCCATTCTTAATTCTTACTTAATTGCTCTTTTGTAGGGTCCTCCTTCTCTAGCTTTGGCTGTTGGGACAAATCCAAAGCAAACCCACCAGAAGTATCAATCAAAGACTACTGTACATTATGTATAATATACAAGTTGCACATGTAATTGCTCAGTTTCTTTTTTCAGGTCAGGTCATATCCTCCAACCTGCTGGGAACCCCTCCAACCCCCAACACCCTTCTCAGGCGGAAGTCCATTGCCGGGCGCCCCAGAGACTTGATACCTTGCTTGGTCAAGTCTTTTGAGACCTGAATGATTTACGCAAAAAATGTTTGCCAGGACCCTCCAAGGGGTGCCCTGTCTGGAAGCCTATAGGTAGTGTGGGGTAGTCCATTGGACACCCCTTGGAGGGTCCTGGTGTTTGATATGTTCAGAGCCCCACTCTTAGAGTGTTTTGATGTGTAATCCGATATGTGGCCTGGTCGACGATTCGGCCGAAAACTATGATCGACGGGTGTGGGGCTCCCATTCCGCTTTCCGAAAAAGCCCCCGCAACCCGGACAGGCTGGACTGGAGCTTCTTTGCGAAACAAGGGTTGGTTTCGGGACTGGATTTTAGGACTCTGGATCTGGACAGGCTGGACTGGACTCTTCTTTTCATTATATACATACCACTGCACCCAGTCTCTCCTTTTCCGCTCTGACCGGGTCTTTGAGGTCTGCAGGTTGACCCAGACCCGCCCAGACCGGTTTCAGGTGGACAAGATCCGCTCCATGACGCCCGCCCTCTCGGAAGCGGCCAACACCGTCCAGCAGCGTGCCGGACGTTTGAGGCCCGCCCGACCGGACCGGCACCGTTGGGTCGGTCGGAACGTGTGCGGGTCGACCGGACTGCTTGGTTGTTCTGAAAGGATCGATCAAACGAAGGCAATCGGGGATGGTCCCACTGCTTGTGTGTATTTTGCTTTGTGTGTGTGTGCTTGACCGTTTTGAGTTTGTTGATAGTGCACGTGAGGCTTTGGCTGTATAAAAGGGTATGGGATGCCAGATCAAATGTCAACGTCGGTGAGACCAAATGTGAAGGCGCTGGACTGGACTTATATTGAGCGCATTCATATGTCATATGCATTCCATGAGTTATATGAGTTCCACAACACAATGAAGTCATAAAGTGATATTCATGAATCATCATCTACACCGTAGGCCTCGTAACATCATGTTCAATAGCCAAGGAGTTGGACTTTAATGACCAGAGGATGAGGATGAATAACCGAGTCTCAGGCCCGGATGACCTGGTGTTTTCATAGAATCCTACTTGCATGGCTGGACTATGCTTGTCAGTTCCTACCCTTGTGTTTTCATAGACTCCTAAATAGTCGTGGCGGCTGTTGCCATGTTTCCTTGAAAACAGATGGTTCGAAGATGTTCGAAGTGTTTGAGGGAGGGTGGCTCCTGGGACAGGCAGTCAGTGGTTGCACCTCGCATCAAAATGGATCAAGCGACTCGTCTAGAGCAACGACTCGTCTAGACGTGCCGTGGGGGAAGTTGGCCAGTTGGTCTGGAGTGAAACACACGGAAAAATAATACTGCAAATGTCAAGAATAATCAAGAGTTATTGCTTTTTTAGGGGGTCTGGAGTGAAACAACATGAAACAACTACTGTAAGGGAAATGATCACTAATGCATGTTTAATTACTATGGTGGCAATCATGTTGGTCATGACGATGATGATGACCGTGCTTTCTGCGGCTCACTCTTCCGAAGGGTTTGGCAAAATGTTTGCATGTCAATGTGCATTCAAGTGGGCCAGCACATACACCCATGACCGGTCCTTCTTGCGTACGCAGAATCAAGCGGCCGCTGGAAAGGCAAATGTAGGTGAAAGGCACATGACCTCCAGTAGAAATGAATCCTTTTGAAACTGGAATCCTTCTGAAACTGGAATCCTTCGTTATGAATCCTTCATTGTTTCATGTTGAATCGTTGTGAAACTCCATTGGTTTCGTTGGCAGTTGCACTTCGGTTTCGGGACTGTTGTCCCCTTTGCGAACTTGTTTGCATCGCGCCATGTGCAGCGTTATATTGGCGCTTCACTGAATTCCCCTCCATTCCCCTGTCCCAGTCAACCAATTTCGAAGTCGTTCAAGGATCAACACCATTTTGTCGCCAAACTCTGTGTTTGTGTGAACATGTGTGAATATTGGCAAAAGACGACATCAAGCTCAGCTATATCCACTACTGTAACTATCACTCGCTGAAACTGTTTCCGACAAACTACAGTTGTTTCAGAGTAGATGGCACAAACCCCAAGATGTCCTTTAGATTGGGCTCCATATACACCACCTTTTGGGGATTGTGCCATCTATTCCTGAACCCACTGTAGCCCAAAGAACAACTGCGGGAGGCCCAACTGGGACTGCGCCGGATCAGGTCGTGCCAACTGCCGATGCCGAACCGCCCTGAGGGATGAAGGGATGAGAGCGAGCTCGCTTGGGCGGCCCAAGAAAGCAGCCTCGTTTGAGTCAAAAACAACGATAGAATTCAGAACATTCAAAAAGAACTCAGATCACCTTCTCCATGGCAGGCCCACAGCAAAATTGAATCACTATGATGCTTGATTGTTTGGACGATAGGTCACGAGCAAATCCAAGGCCGAGACTTGTCAGTGTTTCAAGCACTTCTTCAAGAAGACCCACACCAAGAGGAGTAAGCTTCGAACATCAACCCCGTTCAGGAAGCCCTACTGAAATCTCAAAGCTTGGCTGAGAGAATTCCCCATTTTAACAGCTTCTGACGAAGCTGTCATTGCGAAAGCATCCGAGCATGGCAAAGAGCAGAAGCGCGAAGCGTTCGGGATGATTGAAATAAGGATGTTTGGGCATTCTAGTTTCAAGCTGCTTGAAGTAGCAACTCGTGTTTGATTTCGGTGCGGCTGAACCTTGGGGTTGAAGACATTGGCGGAGTTTGAAAACACGTTCGTGCAGATTATAAAACTAAGATGGTTGAGATGCGTCGACACTGCGTCGTCCTGAGCTGATCAATGCATCTCGTAGTTCATTCCTTGGGACGCAAAGTTGGACATGTTGTTCGGCCAGCACGGGCTGGCCCTTCATCCACCGAGCCAAGACTTGTATTCTGAATCGTTCCAGCAACAGGATCATGAGCGAACGGTCAGTAGCAACTGTCCGAAAACTTTAGGAAGCTTGAAATATGTGACCATGTGTTTGGTTTTGTTCGTCCGGCAGTTCTTTGCCGGGCAGTTCTCTGCTCCTGATGGGTTTGCACCCTCGCAATGGCCCGTTGGCAAGCAGTGATCATCGGCCTCGGTGTGCGGGAGACAGAATCCGACCCCCGCCTTGATTCCCCCGGGGCGGGATGCACGACGACTTGCTGCGACACTGCAATTTTACTGGCCTTTGTCAGGATCCCATCCTGGTTGTTGACGACGATCAGCACCTATGCAGCGAAGACGAGATTCAGGAGGCGCTCAAGCGTGCAGTGGAGAAGCTGGGCGAATCGTCGAAGCTCTTTGTATACTTCGGAGGGCACGGATATGATGACGACGGTTTGACGGTTGTGTTGCCACAAGGCTGGCAGGGAGAGACCTCAGAGCTGTTTGTCCTCCAGTACCTGGTCATAGAAGCAGTTGCCAAATGCAAGCCCTTGCAGGTCATGATCATAAGTGCCACATGCAGACCCAATGTGATGGAGGATGTTGATTGGAAGGTTGCAGACCTTTATCTTGAGAAACGCTTTTACCAATGAACGCCGTATGAAGTTTCATGCATAAGATTTGTGATGCAAAATAAATGTTGGTTCATGCTCTTCCATTGAAGCAGGCCGAAATCACAATGTGTATGCAAAACGTTGTACTTTCTCGAGCTCCCATTGGTTGGCTTCAGCCCCCTACGTACGCTTTGTTGGGAGCCTGTGCTACATGTTGAATGAGGCCATGCTAGATTGGAGGCCATTCCTATTAGGTTGGAGGCCATCGCTTTTTTGTTGGAGGATATCGCTCTTAGGTTGGAGGCCATCGCTCTTAGGTTGGAGGCCATCGCTTTTAGTTTGGAGGCCATCGCTAGGTTGGAGGCTCGTGCTTTTGTTTTAGCCTATGGATCTTGTGGAACTGGCTGCCTGGGTCGCGGAAGGAACGTCACTTTCCTTCAGCGGACCAACCCGTTGGATCGCAACCGTGCGCCCCGGTCGGGTCACCTCGAACGACCCGAAAGCGGTGTTTTTTAACGGTGTTTTTGGAGCCTGGTGGACTTCCATGTTATTCAAAAAGCAAAGAATCCAGCATTGTTTGTTCAGAGAGGGCATGCATGTGTGTAAGGTGCTATTTCTTTTGGCATAGGATGGCCAGGTAATCTTAGCTGGATGATGAGTCCATAGCTTGCTAAACAGCCAGCATCTCCGACGCGAATGATAGACCTTTTGTTCATGTTTGTTCCCTTTTGACACTCCAGCTCACTGCACGCTTGTTTTGCCATATGCACAAGAAGAGGATGATCCCTGTAGGAGTAACGCCAAAAAAAAACTAAGCCTATACTTGTGGAATGTCCCTGACCAATATTGTGTCCGCTGTTGTAGGCCATTCGACACCAACACTCCTTGCTTTTGGGATCTCCGTGAAACACCTTTCTTCTCCGCTGAACCGGTGTTACGGCTCCAGCACCGACTGTTGAACAGCTGCGAGACGATTCGCCATGGGTCTTGTCCGAACGAAGACTGTGAAGAAGGCGACAGCCACGAGAAGATCCAGAAAGAGAGGATTCCGCCTGCGCGGTGGTTAAGAATAGCTTTGTTTTCCATCCAAAATTGTGAATACTCACAGTTGACCAATTGTCAGAACATGGTTTTCAAATAGCCAACCAGCTCATCTACTCTTGATGTGCAGATTTTCCCGCACTACCTTGGCAACTAGAAGAAGTGATGCTCTATTTCGAGACAATGGGGCACTGTATACATTCATCAAGGCTAACGATTTTTTGGTAGCGCTGACATTCAAGAGCAGGTTGGTTCTCAGCCGACATGTCGACCTCTGGACTTCTTGTTGGCCCTCTTTTTCGCACTTTCACCGGTTTTTTGCATGTGCGAAGTGGCCCAAACTCAGATTCAGAATATAATTTGCATCCAAAGAATGAGTGCAACCCTGGGGGGGGTGGAGGTTCCAACCTTTGAGGTAAATTCAAACGAAGAGGTGGGAGTGCAGGGGACTGCCGGAACACCATGGACCATGTACATACACCATGAGTCTGTTCGACGAGTATTTTGACGTTTTGTCCACGACACCGTGGATGTCCAGTGCATCTTGAAGGGGCAGAAGAAATCTGGGTTTCGCCACAAGGCAGTCTCTCTCTCTCTCTCTCTCTTTCCAGCACTTCCATCCGGAGAAATGATGCCGGCCGCCGGCCCCGCCCTGTTCTCCGTGTCAGGCCGCACGGGTGATTGTGGAGAAGTACTATGGCAAGTTGATCTTGGATTTCCAGCACCGGCCCCTAGAGGAAGCGGTCGTTTCTCCGCCCCGCAAAAGCGCTGAACAAGCGTCATCCCAAATTCGCGATGGTGCTCAAGTTGACTTAAACACACATTGGCTTGGGTGGTTTTCTCTTGGTGTACCAACTCGCCGTGGGACGGGCGGCTAGCCGTGGGTCCCAATCGCCCGTCCGACCGTCTCCGGGCTACGAATCGTACGTATGATCGGCTCCAGAGTCGGAGGGGGTGCAGCAGCGAAGCCACGAGCAAAGGAACCCTGTTGGCTTCGATGATGGAGGTCGG